AGCCTGGCTAAAACCATGAGGGCATTTCTGACCTAGTCATGTTCGCACAGGAGAAGACAAAAGCTATCAATTGCCAAGTGGACCTTCCAACTCTGAGCTAAAAGAGTTGGTCTAGAGTATATTAAATATATCAGACATCTTACTGGATAAAGTTTAATACTGTGGGCCCAGATGAATTTTGATCTGCTGTTATGGCTGTGTTACTGTCAATGTTATCAGACTTTTGTCATATACAACTGAGAATGAATAAAGGAGTTCTTTGAGAAAAGATTGGCATTTATTCTGAAGCAGGGTGCATTTCCTTCCACACTGCCACGCTCACTGATCAGTGCCAGAAGCCCTCATTCAGACCTTTCATCAATAACAGCTGAGGATGAAAGAACAGAAGAAGCTTGCAGTCAACTGTGAAAGCTACTGTGCCAAAACCAGTGTAATTCTTAGCCCAGAGGATTTTGGACTTAAATACAGAGCAAGAAGCTGTTGATCAAAATGTTCCATAGAAGGTAGACTGAGAAAGATTACTGAAAAAGGACAATAACTTATTCCGTTTTGCTTGAAGGGTGTGTATGACCCTGTAGACATTGTGTTAACTTTTCAGTTAGGAATAATGGGCTTGGATCTCTTCACATAAGCTGTGCCACAGTGAGTTGTTTGTATCAACACGCAGAAAAGCTCCAAACCAGCATTCCAGTGAATGCCAAATCTGTCAGAATTGAGAGACAGAAGGTGCCTGTCACTTGGAAGCCTTCTCCTGAAATGTAAAAATGTATGATCAAAAATGACTCTATTGATTTGTACTATCAGAAACAATTTAGAAAGTGTAAAGCCACTTCGCCATAAAGAAACAAATGTCGTTATAGCCAAAGCAAGGTACTGAATTGTGAGTGTGCCTATATGACTTGTCTTTTAGTATCCTTGCTTCCAGCATTTTTTGAGGGACACAGGTGTCCTTCAGAACATTTTAGAGGTCTCCAGGAGGTCTAGATAAAAAGTGAAAGCAAATAAAAAGACATCCCAAAGGAAAAGTCACACAGGAATTACTGGTATGGGAGCCATGCCTTCAAATTTTGATCATCTAAATGTTGGTTCAAGCTAGGATAATTCTTTAGGACATTTCTAGTGGGTCTTTGGAATTGCCTATCTCATAGAATGGGTTGGGTTGGAAGGGACCTCAAAAATCATTTAGTTCCAACACTCCTGCCATGTGCTGGGGCACCTTCCACTAGACCAAGCTGCTCAGAGCCCCATCCAACCTGGTCTTGAACGCTTTCAGGGACAGCAACTATCTCTCTCCCTAGATCATGCAATAGGAACACATAATTGGCCAATGCCTCAAAATGCACTTACATGTTCTCTCACTTTTCCGCTTTATGCAACTCTAGAACAGGAAAAGTTTTATCAATAAATATTCATTTAGGAGATCTGACATGATGGTTTTAATTCCACTGGTTTGGAAAATTTCAGGTTGATAACAGTTTACTCCTTTTTTTAATCATTTGGAAGAAAATCCTGTTTCTTGGTTTTTTCCACTTTTCAAAGTTCCAGATTTTGATAGATATAGAAACGTGTGTCCTTGTTGCAAGAGTTAATTTAAGCACAGGTAAATAATTTGTGGTTCCTTCAAATAGGGGTCAAATGAGAATATCATTAAAAAGGAGCAAAATACAAACAGATTTACAGCATTGTCTAAATTTTCTACTATCTGACGAGACTGATGATACTGAGTTACTCTATACAGTATAGGAAAACCCTGTACAGGAGCAAGAATATAGAATTATCTTAATTATTATCTTAATTATGTCAGAAAAAAATATTCTAATTCCTTGCTTCTGTTCCCTAGAAATTGCCTCTCTCACCCACATACACACAAATACACAGCTGAAACATCTTCTTCAACCTGACTGCTGTAGATGGCATACCAAAATGATATGCTTATGTAAATGTTTCTACAGTATGCCCTGTGTCCCTACAGACTAATAGTCATCTGCTGGTAGCAGAGAATCTCGCCACAGATGCTTTACAAGCTGAGTGGGATGTCTCTCTAATTTCATATATAACCACTGTTATGATCACCTCAAAAGCTTCTCCTCAAGTATGTCCAACACAAATTCTGATGTATCCATGCAAAATAAGAGATAAATTCATCACTCTTACAATTTATGAACTCTTGGAAATATGGCTTTTTGATTATTCTGCATCTTTTGGTGGTAATACCTTTGCTAATGCCCTGATAAATGTGGCCCACTGTGACAAATACATTACTTTCTGTAACGGGGTGTGTGTATATACATATGCAAGGAAGCAGTGTAGATGAATACAAGTAAACCGCATTATAAATGCATTTGATAGAAATACACAATTTTGTACCCTAAATGTAATCACTAATGAAAGATTGACTAAAGCTCTGTTAAACACCCTCAAGATGTTTGAAGTGGTTTAACAAAATTTTCTACTGAACATAGTTCTTTAAAGAGTTCTGGCTTTTAAACACCTGCAGTTGATGGTTGCTACAATTACGTAGTGGAAAAATGCAGAGTGAGAATCTTGGATCTTCACTGAAGTGGAAATAAAACACAAAAAAACCCTGATAAGCAATGAATAAAAGGCCCATTGAAGAAATCAGAAAAATGTCCTTGTATGTAGGCAGTGTAGTGCTCATCTGCTGCTGCATTTGTGTGATACCAATAGACCTGATTTGACCTATTATGCTCTGAAAAATGCACAATTATTAGGCAGTAGTTATCTTTACTTTTCTTGTGTCTTAGCCTACTTATGCTGTCTAGGGTATCTATAAATGCCCCAACTAATCACAAGATGCCTTTTTCATTTTGTTAATCATATCCAAGAGGTAGAGGTCGCATATGTCCATGCCGCTAGATATAAGATAGATATATATATTATTATATACTCTGTGTTTTAAGGTGGATGCCATGTCTAACTGTTGTCCATGAAAACAATGCAAAATTATTTTTAACATTAACAGAATCAATGTCAGGCCTTACATGGAACACTACACAATGAAGCTTACACTTTTAGACCAAAGAGATAGTATCGGACATCCTTTTCAGGTAAATCCCTTCTGAAAGATTTTGCTTGTATCACTGACCAGTTTGATGGAAAGCCAATTGCCATTTTCTGCTTGTTTTATACTGAAATTAATTCATTATTACTTTAACATCCCTATCAGAATCCTGAGTGGAAGACAAGTAATCAATTAAGTATGAGTTTTAAAAGCATGACCTGAAAATCTTTGCATTCCAAGTAAAAATATAGGAAACTGAAGTATGTAAATTAAAATAGTATTCTACTAAAAATTGATGTTACTATACATACTCTTCATGTATACTTCCCCTGTGTGACACAACTACTTTTGCCAAAAATGTAGTATTTTTATGACATCTTTAATAGAAAAACATCACTTCTGCTGACAGCTGATTAATACATTTTTGATTAGCGTAAATTTAACAGAAGTCTGTAGTTTTGTGAAGCTAACACAGCAGCAGCAGATGGATGACATCTGAAGCACCAGCCAAATGTAAAGGAATTAATAGCAGCAGTGGAGAGGGCTGAATTTTACCCACTAAGATTACAGACTACTTACAGTTTATATACTGACACAAATAGCAGTGCAATGTTGCCATAGAAACTTGTAGACCAGTAAAATATTCCTCCAGCTCTTCACCAATGAAGAGACAGGAATACAGAGCTTGATATGGTAATGAGAGCAACCAGGGGGTGATGAATGTGAACTGATTGAGGGTGAGGATTAAGAAAGACCTTAAAAAGCCTTTAGGAGTAAAGAATGGCTGTGACTCCCATAGTTAATACAGTGGCATATTTAATTCTCTAAGATCTCCCACATTTGTTAACAGGAAAATGTTTCAGTGAAACATTGCTTGTTTTCTAGGGATTATGCTGTCGGGCATCTTTTGGATGCTTTCTTAATAATTTTGTACTGATTTTACATACTGAGGACTTCGGGGGAGAGGAACACAATTTGAAATAGTATAGATTATAGCTTCAGACCAAACAAAACTGAGCTTTATGAATCAAACTAATTAAAATTAGATAATTTAGATTAATTTTAGCGATTGAGCAATGAGCTACTGTAATTCTCAGGGCATATCTAGAAATCTGTTTCTAATTAATTCAATTTTTAATTGCATATTCAGGCCTTTTATTCTGTTCAAGGTCACAGACTAAAACATTTTGCATGTTTATAGAATCATAGAATCATAGAATGGCTTGGGTTGAAAGGGAACTTAAAGATCACCTGGTTCTAAACCCTTTGCCATGGACAGCAACACCTTTCACAAGATCACGTTGCTTAGAGTCCCATGACCTTGAACATTTCCAAGGGTGGGGCAGTTATTGCTGATTGTTTTGAGAAGTATAACATATCCATTAGTACAAAACCTTACAATTTTCTGAAATTTTAGTTAAAAAGTCTCTGTCTTTTCCACTAATAAGTTTTCTGGTATTCTATACTCTTTCCAAGATTAGTACATATGCCATCTAACTCATACCACAAGAACAAGTCCATCTGTTTAAACATACTAATTTTGTCACACTAAATCTCTGTGTTGGGATTTTACTATTTAAAATGTTAACACTGCAGTGCATGAGTTGGGCTGTTTTTATATACATAGTAATGTGTAGTTATTACCTCTCCCATAATGTATTGAAGAGTTAAGAAAATACACTCTATAATCCATACTACTCAAATTTTTCTGTTTCAAAACATTTGTTTTGAAACTATCTATATGCTGCTTTTCAAGATGCAGGCTAGACAGACTAAAAGATAAAAAAATGAAACATCTGAGATAACTTAGCAAGTCAATGAGATGGAACTCAAAGTTTTTACTTCCAGGTCAATAGTTAGGACTAGATAAATGACTCATTAATCACACACATGTCCAAAAGAGATATCAAATACAGTAATAAAACAATTTGAGTACTTACATTTATCAATGCTAATCAAAATATTGTTTTTATGTTACCTTGCTGTAGCTTGGACATCCATATCAGTCTTTGATTTTGGAAGAGTCACCTGTTCTGATGAAAGGGCAGCTCTGCAATAGAAATGGTGAAAACGTGCTGTAGTAACAAGACAAGAGGAAGTGGGTTCTAATGGAAAAAGAGAAGGTTCAGGTTAGATATTACGAAAAAATTCTTTACGGAGAGGGTGGTGAAGCATTGGCACAGGTTGCCCAGTGAAATTGTGGGTGCCCTATCCCTGGAGGTGTTCAAGACCAATCTGGATAGGGCTCTGAGCAACCTGGTCTAGTGAAAGTTGTCCCTGCCTATGGCAGGGGAGTTGGAACTAAATGACCCTCAAGATCCTCTTCCAACCCAAATCATTCTATGATTCTATGAAATGGTTTATTATTGTGAGTTTGAATTTTCTTTGAGAAATTTTTTCTCTTTTTTTCTTTAAATATATAGTGTATATATAAAATACATGTATAAAGAATTATACGTATATAAAAATAAACATATAAAGAGCCATGTAATGCTTTAGTTCACTAGATTGCTGGATACACTGAGCCCTTTGAAAAATTAGTATCCCAAGAGTCGCTGTTTTGTTAGTATGGATGTTATAGTTGACTGCCATTTCTTTACTGTTTCAAAATTATTTTAGTAATAAAGGAACTTCTAAATCCTTTTCTCCTACCTAATAAATAAATTGTATTTATTTAGTAAAGACTAAACTAGCAAAGTACTGATTTTTTAAAAGTTAAATAAGTAAACAATTACACTTACCAATTTTTATTTATTTATGTGAACAATCAGTTTGGTCACTACAGGAATACTAAAGTTATAAGAAATTATAAGGAAGGGAGAAGGTGGCTGATGCAGTTAATGAGGGTTGTCTGCTTCTTTAGAGAATATTTCTATTAGTATGGCAACTAAACCATGACAAGCTGTGAAGCCGTCTTAATTATAAGCCATGAAATTGCAGGTTGGTTAAGTAATCTTCTCTTAATTTAGACCATGTAAAATATACATTTGATTAATGAATTAATTAAATAAATTAGACACTCAAATAAGTTCAGAGTACTTTACACCAATTCGTCTTATGTTAATGCCATCTATTACAAGCTTTTGCATATGCAAATTTACCACTTTCTTTACTTTGCTCACAGTGTCTTTTTCATTTTGTCCTTAGAGCATCAGTTGTATGTAAAAGAATATTTGCATTAGCACCATATGTAACTGTGGAACTAAAATTGTGAAGCAGTTTTTAATTTTTTATGGAGTTACAATTGTTTTTTTCAATTTGAATAAATATCCAATTAAATGTTTTAAGTTATATGAAAATAATTGCATTTCTGAAAGAAAGTTGTCTTCATGTCATTCTGTGACATGGGCTATGGAGGAACCCTTCCAGATAAATTATACAGTGGTTATATTTTAAATAAATCTAAAATAATACTCAAGGTTTATGCACAGGGGTGTGTTACATTTCCAAATCTACTGAGAAGCAAAGTAAGCAAGACATACCTTGTTGGAGTCTCTGAATTTTCTGAAGTGGCCCTAGAGAAAGAACACAGTAACCAATTCAGAAACCAAGTAACTAATATTTCAGAAACCAAAATGCTAGTATTGAAGCACTTAGCAAGATTTAGATGAATCAACAGCAATTAATTTTACTTTTCCTTCCTTACAAGATGATATTATTCTTTTTTTCTTAATGTAGAATACATGTTTAAGTCAAGTAGCATAATACCAAGTTTTAATCGTATTCTTGGTACATTACTAAGATAATCATTCCTCAGCTGACATTCTCCAGTCAATCATTCTGGCTAACAGTGTTCTGTTTTCAGCATGAAAATCACAATCAAAACACTCAATTCCAGTGAGCTGCTTATAGTGTTAGCTCCAACTGCAATTTCTTTTAAGTGTTCTGTAAAGGATGCTTAATCAGCTGGGAACTGAGGCAAAGAACTCTGGAAGTTTATATATCATGTTTATCATGTATATTGTGTTGGTATATAAATAACCCTGACCAAAAAACCCACATACCCATGATTGCTGAACTCCTTCCTGAGGATAGCAGAACAGTCAACCATTCTCAAATTTGAAGATAAGACATAGCTCTTTATTCAGTCTTTAGGATTGATGGTGACCTTTAAAAACTGTGCATATTAGCATCTATGCATGGCACTTTATTTCCTGAAACTTGCAGGCAAGTAAAATGCTTTCCTTTGGTGACTAATATTAGTAATATCAACAATTTGAAATAGCGTTCATATCTTAAAAGCACTTTTAAAAGATAAAACAATTAATCATTAAATGTCCATTGCTTTTTAGCCAACTGTCCTTGATGACTTCATTGTTAGAGGATCCAGGAAGGGTCATGAAAGCTTCAGACACAATATGCCTGTATTTCAGTCTTCTCTGAGCAATGAACTAGAGAAGTAATTAGATAATTAGTGGTGAGAAGAACACAGGAATCCCAGCTTCCTGCTGAAAGATGGGTGGATGCCATATAGAGGATGCATCGTATCTTAAGCTTTCAAAATTAACATGATCTTAGCAAGATATTGAAGTGAAGCCAGATAAATTCATCACAGTGGGCATATTAAAAATATCTAGTAAGGACTGACTTTAAAAAAAATAAACTTTAGGGTCTATGAGCTATCTTTGTGCTGGTTAGAGAGTGACTTCGAATATTTGGCCAAAGAGATAGGAAGTAGTAAACACATAAGATTAAAAATAATTGCTAAACTTAGTTTTAAGGATTCACCTTGAAGTCTTCCAGTAACAGAGATTTCATAAACTCCCTGGGCAATCATCTACCAAGAATTATACCCAGCACAACAATGTATCTATTAATTTCTGTTTCATTAAATTCTCGTCATTGCTATGCACGAGACTCATGTTGGAAGTTTCCCAGATTAAAACTAGGAAATCAGAAGGCCATATTGTAGCCAGTAGGGGACCTAAGCAAAGAATAACATGGAAGTTCATTCATTAATATTTTAAACCATCCATATTCTGGTTTTAGATAGGAAATAAACGTTCTCTTTCTAATCTGCCAGAAAGCAACCACAACTTCAGAAATAAACATTAAACATTCATCTGCAAGTAACTTTATCCTTATCTTTTCTTCTAAACTATTTCTTAGCACTTAACTGATGAGTAAGGTGACTAAGCAGATCCTGAGGTTTTGTTGACACTGTTAAGCAAAAGGCCAAGGGTTAACCTCTGGCTGTCAACCCAAATGGCACCAATAGATTCCTACCCTTATGCCCAGTCTCTCTTTAGCAGATTTGCCTTGAGGCAAAATAACTGAAATAGTTCAAAAGGAAACTGTGAGGAAAACATGCAAGCAGGATATGATAATTTTGAGGGCGCTTATGTAACCTCAAGTTGCTGGCACTTTGTATACTCAGACCTCAGTCAACGCTGGACATCAGGCTTCCAAGAGCCAAAACAAGTACTTAGGCATGGGATGTTTTCTCTTTGCATGGCATCTTAAACATCAAAAGCAGTCCATCAAAGAATTGCCCTGTTGTCTCACTCCCAAAATTGGCTCTAGCCAAGAATTAGGGAATAACTAGTAATCATTCATACTTACTGTTTGTTTTCCACTGCTTGTGTTGTGGTCTTACTACTCGAAACTGGGGGAGGCATCCAAGATTGCCTGTCAATGTTAACAAATAAATTTTTGAGTATTCATTTAATGCTATGGGGCTGAACAGCACACTGTGAATGTTAGAATGTCAAAAGTGGTGCAAAAGTACCTGGAATTTTCCTTAAATTGTCAGCATTTTGAAACACTGCATGTATATACTTTTTAGATCATTTTTTCAGTCACCAGAATGGAATAGAAAATAATACACTAATTTTAACTATTGTTATAAAAAATTTATTCTGTGACTCTAGTTGATATTTTCGGCAATCTGAATGGTACAAATAAATGGATCATTCATGGAAAGGACAGCCAGATAAAGTGCACAAAGGAAAGGGTGTAAATTATCAACCCAAGGAACAAATTCAGACTGTTACAGGTTACATGAAACAGAACAAGCTGTTCCTTATTTTCTTTTTTTTCCCCCCTCTCTAAATATCAATCCAGGAATTGTTTGTAAGGAAAAAACAATTGCACCAGAAGCAATTCTGTTGGTACAATTCAGATGGCCTTCTGTACTTCTAAAGAGCCTGAAGAGAACTACTGTACTGAACACACCTTAAACTTCCACCAAACAAGCAGGGTGATTAATATAGAAATGATCACATTTTAATTTCTACATTGATAATTAATCACAAATCACATTTTAATGCATGAAATATGAAAGACAAAATCACAAATTAACTGAATTTGTAGCTGGGAAGGATGCAGAAAAATATGGCTATCACCAGCAATGCATTTTAAATTAAAAATGTACTTTGTTCTACACCCTGTTTTTATTCTTCCCCAGAAAATACTATCTGAAATCCAGAGTTTTAAAGGTAGCTGTATGCCATTTAGATAACTCTGTGCTTCATACTTACTGCAACAGCACAGAGTCAAGTTTGGCATCAGAGATTTGGCAATTAGAGTGAGCTACAATGCTTTAAATTTAGACACTGAAAATGCATATGCTAGCTGAGTTAGGGGCTGCGGCAAAAAGTTAGCACCAGTTGTGCTTTGTTCACAGGGCTCACAAAGCTGGCTCTACAGAGACAACACTGTAACTCCCAAGAAAAAAAACAGAGCATGCAAAAGTTTAATTCTTGAAGCTTGCTGAGGAGTTTGAGTGTGCTGGAGGAGGAAGTTGGTACTGAGTGCTTATATACAGTGCTATATATTCTCTAGCAATCAAGCAATGGTGGCATTGAATACCTTTTTTTCTTGATTGAAGAAGTGGCAGCAGTGTTTGTGAGTGCTGCATCCGGAGTCCAAGATTGCCTGTTAAGGAATTAATTAATTAATCTTCAACAGGAGTATCATTTTAAACTAGAAAACCTTCGAATTGTAAGAAATCATTTTTCTACTATCAGAATCATTCAACTGTGTATGGTAAATGGTATAACTATGTTTATACATGCCAACTGAAATTTTGGGAATACCTCAAAGAATACAAAATTTGGGACACCTTAAGAGATTCTGATGTTTGGAGAACAGCTGCATTTCTACTTGATAACGAAAGTAATTTCTGACTTCTTAAAATCTTGACTTCTGTGCCTATGCTTTAGTCTCCAGTCCCTACAATATTTAAAATCTTTATTTTTTCATACTTTAAATTTTATTTTCTTGTTCAAGTAAGCTGCTCTTATGTTATGATATGCCTGTAAAGGAGATGGTATTTCTCATACTCCTAAACTATATAATATCCAAGCCAGAGATTTATATATATATATTTAATATATCAAAAAGTTATTGTCTTATTCTCTGCAACTCCATCATAGTAATTGAAGTATAGAGCTTTAGAGCTTTACAAATAATTTTATTGATCTCTGGAAGGAAAAAATATATATACAATTGAAGTCTCACTTACGACCCACTTCAGAATTCATGGTTGGTCTGTTAAAAAACCATCTCCAGCCAAAATAACATAAAATCCAGTTTATATGATGCTTCATGTGTCATCATTACCATGATTTACCACATAATGGTGCAAAACCATAATTTGAAAGAATGACCTCTGTTGAACTTTAAATGCCAGAGATACTCATTTGCTCTTTAAAGCAATATCTCAGCTCTTCACAAGAGGACTTTTAATTGCTGTCCTCTTTAGCAAGTATATTCTGTGTAATTTATTACTGACAGAACTGTGCTGACATTAATGAAGGCACAAAGCCGTGTATTTGTCCCATTGCATTTATAAATATGGTGGCTGAGATCTGACTTTCTTTTCTTTAATAAAAATTTCAGTTAGGTGATAGCTGTAAGTTCTTTAGAAAAGATTTTTTCGGTGTTCTGTAATCATATTACATGTATAAAGTGGCCACTTCTGAATCAAAGAAACTCTTTTAATAACATGTCAAAAATGCTGTGCTAACTTATTCTCAATTAAAACTGTTTTTTTAAATAGACTGACATTCTGACAAAATAAAAGTTTTCTACTGGAAAAATCAGCCTGTCATAAAATTATGTTTTATGTTTTGGTACCCAAGTTTTCCACTGGCAGTGTACAATGGCATTTTCCACTGAAAACACTGATTAGAATTTTTCATGTAGTCCTCCCTCAGAATTACGAATTATGTTTGGTAGACTTTGTGCAGAGAGATCCAGAGCTCTAGAATATACCTACACTTTTAGAAACACTCTGATTCTTTCTTCTTGCATTTAAAATGTAATTTTTACGCAGTCACTATGCTGAGCAAATGTGACTGAGCAAATATGAGCTGGTCTCTCTTTTAATCTGTGTGGAGAAATAGGCTTTTTTAAGGAAAATTCCTCTTACTCTAAAGAAACTATGTGAGAAACACCAGAGGAATTGTCCTCCGAGAGACCCTTTTTCTCCTCATTGGCTATAAAAAGTCTATGGTAATCTGAATACAGATGTCTACATTCCAGCTGTCAGGTGATTAAATGAAGCCAACCATTAGGCCATGTGCCATACAAGTAATTTCTCTATATATTCTTGGTATGTACATGTATTCTGAAGTTATGATAATGATAATGCATGATAAATGATAAACTGATAAATATTTAGATGATAACGTTTCCAAAACTCATACCTGTTGTTTTGCTTATCATTCAGAGTTGGGTACTTATTCACTTTATCGGTATCACTTCTGGTTGGAATTCTGTTAGAAACACAGAAATTATTGATAATAGACACTCATATTTTTTTAAACTCACTTGCAGTAAAATTAAAAGATGCAGTATCAACTTGCCCTGTGTATAGATTAAAAATTCCCCAGTATCAAAATAGGTGTAGAACAGAAGCTGAAATTATATAAATTTAGTGCATTATCTGTAGAGTGTAAGTAGCTCACTGAATAAGACTTTTCAAAGGTGATGTTCAAACAGCAATAGATGTACTGCATTAAGCCTCACTGTTGCTAACAATTTATTACAACTCCTTTGAATTAGATTAGAATGCTAGAGAGAAAGCAATGTTCAGTCAAGCAGTAAACACAGAATTAGTGCCTTTCGCTCTCCCTCACCACCCCCCGAGAGATGCAACAGTCTTGTTTTCTTTACAGATTTTAGACATCAATGCGGTAAGAAAATATTCTGGTTTAAAATCCCTGGCAAAGCATTGTAATGACCTACAGGAAAAACTTCTATCAAAGAATTTATATTATTTGTGTTTAAACTGAGCCATGAAACTTACATGAAGAAACAACGACATGATTTTTCAAGCCTGTTATGGATTCTACAACTGTTGCCTAAAACCCTTCAGAATTTTCACAGAAATCACTATGTAGCTATCCTAGCTGAAGCAGATTAAGTTCTTTTTTAATCCAACTTTCTTCCCATACATGGAATATCCTTTAGTAGGAACAGGGGAACTACAAAAAGCTCAAATATGAAGTGATGTGCATTGAAATAGATGACAAATGCTGAGTTGAGAGGGTTATCCTGAGTATTTAGTTAAATCAGTTGAAACACATCTTGAGCTACAACTTATTTACATATAGAAATTTCTTAATTTTAGTTATCTATTCCCAACTACAAACTGAAGCTATAGATGCAAAATAACTAATCCTAAAACTATAATCTAAATTTATGTAAAAACCTTTTGCATTCTGCCTTCAGCCAAGCAGCACGGAATACTGTTGTATTTAATTCAAAACCTTCCAGGGGGTTCTGGGAAATGATCTGCACCAGCATGTGCTCTGTGCCTTTTGCAAATCCTAAATTTAATTGTGCAAATAACAATCTGTGTCAGGGCAGCTTCTGACTGTGACGGCAGCTACAGTTACTCGGAAGATCACTAGAGGTCTCACTAAACTTGCTGGCGTTGCTGCGGATGCAAATCTGAGCATTCCGTCTCACTGTTATCTAGAAAATGAACCAGCATTTCTGTCACACGTTGTTGTGTGTTTTCAAAATTTCAGCACAACACTCTACTTAATTTTATATTTCCTCATTTTAAAGTCTTAATGATTCTATCTGGCATTCTGCTCCATTGCTGCCCAGTGTAGCAAAAGCTTTTGGGGAAAAAAAAGTTAAAGAAAGGTAAGTATAGTGTTAATTTCTCCTTGTGCAACTTTTCAGCTTCTGATAGGCAGTCAAAGAATATTCTCTGTTCGCACCCAGAATGTCGTCTCCAACAGACATCTCTGGATCAATGGTCCATTTACTCATGTAGAGTTTTTCTGAGGTAACTTATGTTTCTGGTGACTCCTACAATTAATACATGCATTCAGAAAAAACCAAATGTTCTTTTTCTTATCTTCTTCATTTTTTTTCTTAAATCATGACACAAACATTTATAGTGTCTCCTCATTCTTACAGTGCAATAGAAATTACTGCTTCCTCACTCACTTTCCCTATATTACTATTTTCCAAGCTGAGGACTCTTTGTTTCTTCAGATATTCTGCATATGAAAGCTATTCCATCCTTTCTCATCTTTAAATTTTTGTTTGTGGTTCTGTTGTAGTTTCTTCACATAAGTGAATGATGCATGCAGTGTTCAAGGTGTTCAAAGCAGGTTCAAATCACATAAAAAAGTGGTTTCTGGTTTGCTCTCTGGTCCTTTCATAATAAATTCTACCATTTGAAAGGATTACGTTATTAATAAAGTGCACAATCAAAGTGTCTCATTTGCTTCAGTATCATCTATTCAGACCTAATTCCTATAAATGCACTTAGGATTTAGTGTTTCTGGAAGCTATTTTGGACTTAGCAGCATTTGGTACTTGAAAAAATAACAATGTAATTTTCATCACTATCTAACTTTTCTCCCATCTTGCATCAAATATTTATTTAGTTGCTAATAATAAGAGAGAAATAAAAGGATAAATAAAATTTTTCTACCCATCCAAAAAGTCTGTCTGTGATCATCTGCACAAAGCAATTGTTGACTGAGTTAGAAGCAATGTAGAGCTACATGCCAGTACAAGTACATGTGCATCTACTGCCATCAATCTTTGGATTTCTGAAAACAACTTAATAGTGTTCAGTGTTTTCTTGTGCTGGCAGCCAGTGGTGCAATTGCACGTAGCCATCTGCAACAACTCCCCCAGGTCCTTAATATGGAAAATGATGTTCAAGTTTTGTAAAGACTGGGTTAGGCAAAATTCATATTAAAAAAAAACCTTTTTTGAACATGGATAGGGCACTATCGAGGAAGCAAAAGGCTGCACTTAATATGTCTTTTAGATATGATTTTACTTGCGCATTTACACATGCAATGAAGAACTCAAAATTATTCCTATAGCCATCGAAGATTCTTTTAATTTAATTTTCAATTATTATTTTGTCAGTTTGAAAACTAGCTATTTAAGAGATATTCATCCAGATAGAGATAGATTCTTTAAAACCTTTTCTTTTGTAATATTGCCGTCATGGCTAGAAGAGTTGCAAAGCAGAATTGTGAAAAGATGTTCTAGTATCTAGCTTGAAAACAGGTAACTCCTAAAGAATTCTTGCAGGATAGAAGACTACCATTTCACAGAAATCTAACTAGGCAGAAATAATTTTCCATAAAGATAACATGACATAATTCTGTAAACAGCTCTCTAATCCAACAGATCTCCAATATCAATGTAATTTTTCTCTAGAAGTGCCTACTAGGAGCAGTCCTTTGAACTTTTTTCTACATTCCAGAAACATGCTCTGTTTTGAACTCTGTCTTTTACTTTTGAAAAAAAAAAAAAAAAAGAAAAAGAAAAGAATGCTGTTTTTTCACACAGAGGCAATAAACAATATAGCTGTTCTGCAAACTGGTCACTTCTAAGCTTGGAAGGCTGCCATACTATGGCTATGCTTGCCAGAAATAATTTATAAGAAAATAAGGGAATTGTGCCAAGTGGAGAACATCCTTCACAGAGAAAGCAGAAGTACGAAATTCAACTGTAAAAAAGGTACTAAGTGAAAATATGTCACCAAACCCTGTTATACCTTAGGTTGCAAATTTGAGGAGTTGCAGAACATGTGGTCACCCCTTCCAGAACTGCCTTCTGGCAACAGGTGTGCACAAATTAATCCTAGTATGGCTATATTTCAGTTTTAAGAAGACCATTGATGACTGAGGAAAAGCAAATAACTTGACCACAGCTTCCTCACTGTGGTAATTTCAAGACAGAAGCACCATTAATTTGCTCCATTTATGGACATATTCTGCACTAATTATCAGAAGTGTATATTCACACCTATAATCCTTTCTTTGTATTCTCCCTCATCAGTTACATATTAAGAACCCTTAATGTTAGATATCTGTGTATATGAAGACACAAAGACAGCTTACAATCTCTATTAATTTAGATATTTTTGTATCTCAGCATAAAGCAAAAAGATACAGAGTACAGAAGGACAATGCTCTTCAGTGACACTGTAGAAACTGGAACTGTCCTATGACTTCTGAATCAGTAATCAGGGTTTGATGCATGAAAATTAAGCCTTAAAAATTGTTTTGAAGTCTGTGAATAAGTGTGACATAGCTGATATATTCACTCAAATTTCCGAAAAGCTTCACAGAAATTTGCTTTAAGTGCCCTTAAATAAACTGATCTCCTATTGGAAATAGAGAAGGTCCTTCCATGCATAAATAGCTGCTTTAAAAAGTAGGAAAGTTTTGAAATAAACAGCAAGTTTTCAGAGTGGAAAGAGAGACCTGTATAAGACCTGCGTTTTTCCAATGTTCATGAATTATCTGGAAAAGAAGGAGAGTGAGATGATGTTGCTTGCCAATCTCATTGATTCATGATAGTCAAAACAAATCCCAACTGGCAAAGTTTTCAGAAATCATCTACTAACATGTCAGATTTCTAGAACAGCAGATGGCACTCACTTTCTTGGATGCAAAGTAATGCCTGCCAAGAAAAACAATTGATCTCTGAGTGAACTATTATTACTAAGGAAAGAAATCTTGGAATTATATAGATAATGTTATGAAAAATCAAAACTCAATTCTCAGCAGTGAAGAGCAAATTCAAAGTTATTAAGTACATGGAAAGAAAAGGAAATGAATCAGAAGTCATTGTTATACTCCTCTGTGTACATACAAGTTGTGCATACATCTTAACTATGTGCCTTGGGACTTGGATCCCCAGATCAAAAAGAATAATATGGAAATATAAAAGATACAGAGAAGAGCAATAGGTAAACTGAAGTTATAGAATGGTCTCCTCATGGTGAATGAACAAATACAGCAGGATTCACTGGGCTGTAGAAGAATAGACTGGGGGATGATACCACACAGGTTTCTAGCCTATTCTTTTCCAGACTTCTGTGGAGAAGGTAAATTTTATCTAACAGTTTTGCATTGTTTCTTACAGCAGTAGTAAGGATCATGAAATAAAACAATAGTACTATGAAATGTGCACAAACAAGTGCACATTTCCACAGTGTGTGTGTTTATGTACAGGTACTCATGGTATCAGCATGTTTTGGATTCCAGATGTTAATGGGGGCTGGATTTTGAAGAGGCAAGGCAGAAAGAATCTGTAAACACAAGCATGGTCGTGTCTTAACAGAGGTCAGGGCTGAATAGAACATTCAAATTACATGAAAAGCATATGATTCTGATATTTGTACTTATCATGGTATGAAGTGGCAGAGAGGATTTGCAAAGAACAAGAGGTTTAGCCATGTTGTGCTTAACTACTGAAGATAGGACTTTGATTTATAGTTTGAAAAGAAAAAACTGAGAAGGAATGGTTATCATCTGTGGAAAGATGCATATATTTATAAAAACAAGAATACACAGAAATTGTTACAGAAAAAAAAAAAGAAGAACAAGAAGTCAAAAGAACCTTTTCTCAAATCACATTTCCATTTGTCTCATTGAAAATTCATGCAAGAATCTTTCAAAGTCTTTTAATTAGATAATTAATAAATAACAAAACTTAAAAAACCCACTGATTTCATTCATGCTTTCATTTTTAAGACCTCTCACAGGTATGAAAATCACAAAATATAATACATCCAGAAGAAAGCCCTACCTGTCCAACGTGGTATCAGATCTGTATCGTCCAAGTACCGCTGTCTGATCTTCCTTTTCATTTGTGCTACTGCTGTAAAAGAAAGTTAGAAATGCCACTTTGGTCATTGATTTTATTAAACAACTCATCACAAAAAAACTCAATATCTATTTCTCAAATTAAAGTATCATATAAGATTTATGACCACCCAGGTGTCAATAGATCCAACCCTGCATTCATTGCAGTGATCAACTTAAGAATTATTGACACCAGAGTCGGATTTACAGTGGAAATATGTATAGACTAAAATTCAACAAAGCAAGCTCTTGGTATAAACAGGATATAATAAAAGGTTGCTTTGGTAATATCATCAGAAAGATGTTACCTGTTTAGGCTGTCTTGGGATTTGTACTGATTAAGCACAGCCCTTCCATAGTTTTCATCAGCACTTCAAGAAAAAGAAAAACAATGGTTAGTTAAAAATGGAGTATTAAAAATAGAACACTTTTCTTGGCAAAAGATTTCTGTCTTCCATCAGATTTCACAGCTGTACACTATCACTCTGATTGCACCATGTATAGATCTCTGCAGTAGAAGATTTCAGACATTTTGGAGTAAGAATTATCTCTTCCTACAAGCTGTTCATGGACCATATAATGAGGGCACGGTCTCAAGGTGTTGTTTCTGCTATAATACAAGTCCTAGTTTACATTAAACTGATTCTGACACAAAGTACTTAAAAAAACTGGCAAAGGTTTATAATCTTCATGGTTGTAAAAAGCAAATCATGGTCTTACAACCTAAATATGTAAAATACGGGATTTTTCTTGTAGAGCAGAAACCTGGCACCTCATTAAATACTCAGAGCTTGAAAGTCCCAATGAAAAACATAGTCAGTGAATATTCAGCAAATTAATACTTTCAAAAGGCAATCAATACCTCATCAAGACAAATAAATAAGAATTGTTTAATTCATCTAATTCCAGTTGATACCATCCATGCAAAAATAGATACTTCAAGGAAACGTACATGGCCTACTGAAATAAATAGTGAAGAAATGCATTTCATATTTTTCTTACCTTTCCTCTTCGGGTCTCTTCTTTATCCAGCTGTTATCTTGCAAAAGTGTCCGTCGTTTATTAATATCATGAGAAGCCTGTTGTCTGCTTTTAATTGCAACAGAGGGGCTCTTCTTGTCTGCAAATGCAGAGAAACATCTTGAAAATGAGTATGTGGAATAACTTTGGAAACCTCAAGTGCTATTAGAAAGGCTGAAATATGTAAAAGTTTAGCACAGCTTGAATTTTCATTTATCACACCTGTTTAGTGACGATCATTTCCTTGATAAGTTTGTGGCTTCAACCTCGAAGAGACTGCAGAAGCCAGTTTACCCAACTAAATCAGTTTCATCCTTAATATCAAAGAGCTTTGTGTATTTTTAATGTAAACAAATTTCACAGATCTGATAAAGGAATTATGAAATTTGCATACCACAGTAATCCCAGGAAAGTCAGACTAATGAATCCTGTTTCCTGGGGTGTTGTCTGTGGGTTTTATGTTTGCAGATGTGTGACAGGATGCAAATTTTGAATGAAAGCTAATCTTGATTTGACCACATGGTCCTCGAGCTACACCCAGCCCAACCTATGTGGATTTTCATGTTTCTCAAAATGTCAGACTCCCTCTGAAGCTTTTTCGTTAATGGTTGAATGAACAGTTTGTTTTCTAGTGAGGTATTAGTTTTACTGAACCTTAATAAAAGTGATACCTTTACATCAAATTTAAGTAAAATTGATGCATGGTTTCAAAGGTTATTGGGAGAGACAGACAGACATGCACACTCACGTGCTGTATGAACACAGAAGCCTTATTTACTTATGAAAACAACCTAAAATATCTCTGCCCAACAATGCTAGTATATTGAAGAACTAACAATACAATACTGACTTGATTTGGGAGATTTTGGATTCCTTCCTGTATTCGAAAGCTGGTGTTTATCTCCTTTGGTTTCCTTTTATGAGGATTTTGGCCCTTTTTAGCAAGTAAAAATATGCAATGGCTACTGTCCAGCCTTCTCAGTTCTTTTTTTGCCTACCTGAGTTTCATATCATCAGCCTGTTTGAGGTGAGAGGAAATATTGTTGTGATATTTTAACATTCCCTTTTAAAATGAAAAGCTAAAAGTTTGGACCAAATAGAAATTCCATTTTTTAATTGCAATATTTACTCCAAATTTTTCCAGACAAGCAAAGGTAAAAATATTAAATATGCAAAACCTTGTTAATACATCCAATTAATCAATAAAATTAATGATGAAAAATACAGAGTTTCTTGGGTTTTCCTTTAGACAACTTCGTGATTTTATACATTAATCCCTCACTTTCTGAGCATTTGCGCAAAAGGAATGCAACACCATCAGATTTCAGGAAACATCGCTATCTGGTGTTCAGTAAGGACATTTGACTGTAAAGATTGTGTATAAAGACCATGCTCCACACAAAATACATGCAGTCAGTAATATGTCATTTGTCAGAGATGTGTTTTGGTATTCTGCTGTGATTTATAAGGAAATGTAATTCTTGCTTTTACTACAAGAACTTCAGCTGTAGTGATAACATTAAAAAATGGCAAATGGCTACAGTCAGTGGAAGATGAAATAACAAAAAAGCACCGAAAAATTTATTTTAAGTGACAATTGTCAAGACTGACTTTTTAAATACATTTTTCTCATGAAAGAAAAATACTGCAGTACCCAGATAAAATTCAGTTTAAAAATGTATATCTGACTGTAACTCAAACTGTGTCTGCTCTTATCTGATTATGTTCACTGTGCATATGGCCATACTGCCAAACAAAAGAAGGCCAGAGAAGGAATGAAAGGCTTGGACTCATCATTCATGTTTGTTTAGTTGCAAATGTTCTCTGGTTCTGTGTTGGACTTGCTCTCCCCATGACTGAGTTGCTGGAGAAGTGGCCAAGGTTTGAGAAGCACAGCTGTGATAGCACGGATATGTGCTTCTGTTTCTTGGCCTTGATGACAAGGTCTGGCTTTCTTTTTTTAAGCAGCGTAGATGCAGCCCTTTGACAAATGACCAGGGACATCAAAGATGATGTTTTTAAGAATGTGCCAACAATCACGGTAGATTAACAAAAAGTAATCTATCCTCACTTCATGATTTCTGCATTAGCTTTTTCACTGCCAATTGAGCTAGTTTTTCTCTTAAAAAGATTTATTAAAATCTGACTTTAAAGACTTCAAAAAATGAAGGCATCCCAGGCTTGTCTGAATAGCTCCAGTGGTTCATTAGAATATGTACTAAAATAAACACTTCTTGCCAACCAAAAAGAGGAAGGACCCCCACCGGTTTAAACAATAACCTTGTCTCATAGTCAACAGCAAGAATGAGGACAATTTTTACTAGCAAACAAGATCATATGAAGTGTGTTTGCTCTAAAAATGTATATCTTTCCATTCCCATAAATATTTAGGTATTTTTAATTTGTATTAGAGGGAAAAAAAAAAAGTTACATTTTCAAAAGTAGGAAAAATGTGAGCTCAAGTTTATGCATTCCAGAAAGAAAAATTCTCTACAGTAAGGATAGCTGATGGCAGCAAAAGGGGTGGAAATGATTCCAGCATTCTTTTCATTCTAACAGTTTTAGCCAAAGATGCTTTGATCTGTTTCCAAAGCATTTTAATCTGTGCTCTTCTACTGTCAGCCAAAACCTCCTCTGAATCCTGAAGAAAAACTTCAGTGACATGAACATTACATAAACATTTCTACATAATCAAGAAGTACTCAGTATATATCCAACTATTAAAACTAAACACGCATGTGACACATTGGCTTTTTTCCAATAGCAATTTAAGAAAACTGTTATCAACTTACCCAAAAATCATTTGCATTTCACAGAAATCATGGTTTTTTAAACTGATTGGTGCAAAGATTTTGGGAAACCTCCTATAAAGGCAGGAACCAAGGACACTGTTTTCTTGTCAAGAAATATCGCAAATATTTTGTTGCTGCCTGAGGCCCTGGCTTTGCTGAAGAGTACTGATTTCTGGTCTAATGAATTTTCTCCCAACCTTCAACTAAAAAATCAAACATAGATCTGATACAACAGTTCGGGTCACATGAGTGCAGGCAGATGCAGCTTATCCCTGTCTTAATCCGGCAGTAAAAATTTATGTCCTCAACACAGCAGAGCCAAGCAGCTCCTTGCTGTGGCTGCTCTAATTTTGGTGTACTTAGGCCTGGCCCATCCCACCCAAGCCAGGTCTCCATGCATTCAAAACCTTTTGGTCTTTAGAAATATTTGTTGGTTTCAGGCAAATGGAAAATATCATCATGCTCACAGTTTGCCTCTGGTCATTTCTCTGCATAGAAAGCAAATTCCAGCCCTCCTCAAATTTTCTTCCTCCAGAGGAACAAACAACCCCATCAGACAGTGATTAAATAGCTTTTCTCTCCCCTTCCTCCATTCTAATTTTCCTCAGTTTTTCTTCATCTTCCCTGAGTGAGTCAAAGAGACAGTGCTGAGATCAATGAATCTGCCCCCTGCCCTGCCAGCTGCTATGCTCCTGCGGGCTTTCCACAACAACCACATCCCTCAGCAGGGGGAACCACCACCTTGCACCACACTGCCTGGCCCCCCCAACTCCACCACACAGCGCTGCCCAGTGGGATGTTCTGGCCTGAATCCCTGCCAGCGACAGTTTGGGCACAACACCAATAGTCTGGCATCTGAAGTGGGTCATACTGTGACCAATGACCATCCTGTCACTGCCGAAGCGAGGCTGTGTGCCCCTTGAGGGAGCTGTGGGATGGGCATGGCGGTGCTTAGACAGGAGGGAGGCACGCCTCAGCCTCCAAGTGCCCTGGGAGCAGAAAATGGAGAAGACTTGGTATTACCGCTTTGATTTGGAGACTGTTTTCGTATACCGAAAGTTGACATTTGTTCCGTGGTATGTCGTCCTTCTCTAGGAATCTAAAAGAAAAGGTGACAAAAAAAAAAAAAAGGAAGAGGTTAGGAATCAGCCCCAAAACCAGTTCAAGATTGTTGTCCGCTTCGATCGTCTCCTTGCACAAGTTTAGTCTGACAGGGTGGAATGGCTCAGTGCTGGCTGCAGCCCTCTTCTGCTTCCTGGGGCACAGTGGTGGCTTTTCCCTGCCTGGTAATCACTGTGTGTACTTCTGCCCTGTGCCTCTGCCTTTCACACTGTCTCTCCTTCCTCTGCCTTGTTGGGAATGTCTTCCCTGAGAGAATACACGATGTGGTGAGATCCTTCAGAGGACTACACTGAGTAATGAAGAGTGGCAAGGTGATAAGCTTAATGGGAAGACAGTATCAGTCAGTGGCTCAGAGTGGCACCTGGAGCACAGGTGGGCTCACCCAGCACTGCTGATGGGTCTTACCGCTACAGTGATCAGCAGCTAACGCAAGGGGCCAGGACAGAGACAGCTCTGCTGCCCTGCAATAGTTTTCCATTCACTGGAATTCCCTTATCTCAAATCAGCTTACAAAATGAACCTCCAAAACTGCCAATTTAAAAACAAGTAAGCAATCAAACCAACAATTATTTGGGAGCTGAGCCACTTGAAAGATTTCATGTTTTGCTTTGAAACTGGATTGTGAATACTAGCTCTCCTAGAGAAAGCATCAAGCAGAACATAATGACATTTCAATAACAAAAAATTCTCCCTTAAGTTAAAAAAAACCAGTGCTGACATTGACTTAAGAGTGTGGCCAAAACTGACTCTCTTTAGCAAGTGGATTCCTTTTTGAAAAGCAGTATTTTCCAAGAAAATAATTGTAAGATGGAAAGCTCCCAACAAATTCCACTGTCAGACTGCTAAGATTTACAGAAGCACAAGAAAACAGTTTTTGTGACAGCAGCAGCCCCTAAAAATCAGAAACATTCCCGGTTCTCTGGGTGACACAGCTATTGTATTCTTCTTATTACAGATGTAAAGTGTATTGCTCCCACACCTAAGATAGAGTGGATTGAGACTGGAGCCTGTGGCTCTTTCTTTACTGATCGGAGGGGTAGAAGATTCTGGCAAAAGCAAATAATACTGGAGTATAAAAGTTCACATGTATCCTTATCCAGTTGTGAAATTCCAGATATTTATAGCAGTTTAAAATTCTGGCATGTTGATTGGAAAGCTCTGATCCACACTCTTGTTTTTTTAAGCTTAGTTGTTGGTATCAAACAGGCATTGGCACCGTATGCATAGAAAACATGTGACTGCTGGATCTGGTTCCCACACAAAAAAAATTTGCTCTGGGCTGTGGTGAGCCATATTTATTTTGCAATTGGTTGTAAAATGTCTTTTAAAAATACTTACATAAGAAGGTTTAAAACATATACCCACTGAATTTCATAGAAACTGTTCAGGTAGGTTATCTAACAATGAGGTTTAGATAGTGACCATTTTCATTATAAATTTCCCTAAACTGTCCCAAGATGGCAGAGAGATCTCTGATTTATTTATGTTTTCAGCTTAGCAACAGCTGTACATCTGATGCAGTCAGTCAGTCCTGAGATAATAGGCAGTTTGATATTTCACTATATTTTACAAGCAGTGAGAACCAGCATTTCTTCACCTCAGGAGGAAGTAGTAGTTTTTATAGAAGGAATTTGGATTTATTTTCTAATAAGTACATTTAAAGCCATTTGCTAAGGGAAATAAATCATAAAACTTTGAAAAAGGAGACTTCTTTTATAAAACTTAAGCCAAATGCAATCTTGTTTAAAATATACATTTTGCAATTTAAATATTTCATACTAAAAATAACAGGAAACTCTTATGTAGACTTCATGTTAGACTATAGCCCTCCTTCCTACATATTTGTAATAGAAACAGAAATTTCTCAAAGAACTGACAAGGAAGTATCATACACCTTTGTTAGAAATAAACAAAAAACCCTCAAGCATTTGTCCTGAAATAAAAATTATGGCCAAAGTAAAAAATCCATACGTTTTGAGGCTTGTCTTTAAAATCTACAGGTTACTACAAATGTATTAATGACACTGAGACCATGAAAAGCGACTATAAAGTGGGTTTGCAGCTCCTGGTTGTATCCATGCAAGACAAAAGAAAGTCCACCAAGTGTGTTTCTTTTGTCCTCCTTAATTTAATTAAAACTGTGTTTTTTCTCTTGTCCTATACTCATTTTTTAATGGTTTAAGGGCAAAACAATATTTCTGTTGTGCATGTGTACAGCATCCATAATAAACTGCTACCTAGTCTCCCAACCCAAAAGTAGTATGCATAAATGAATACAAAAACCAGGCACACTCCCTTTTACAATCAGGACTGAAAATGTGCCAGGTATTCTGAAATTTTAAATCCGAGCATTTTAGTCCTACAGAATACTGCCACAGTGTCACGAAGCTTGCTTCTTGCTTCTGAACTTTCAAGTTGTATATCAAAGATTGATCCATTAAAATTTAAAATGCAAATTAAAAGCTACTTCAGTCTTTAGCACAGACAATTAAGAATCATCAGAGTAAGATTTACATTTTAGGATCTTAGAAATTAAAAGAATCTTGCATAAAGAGGCAGGATACAGCTCATCAAAGCATTTTTTTCTTGGTCTTCACTATTTTGAACTGTGTGTGTATCTGTGTGTTTGGAAAGGGGAATGGACAAAAGATTATGAAGATCCCATAGTTTAAAAAGATAGTTTAAAAATTCCAGCTAAGAAAGATGTGAAACTGTCACATTGTTCACACAGGTCAGTGAACATCTTATCTTCAGCCCATAGGGAGATTTATAAAAATTTTTTCACTTTGTGAGAAAGAGGAGTTATAGATTTCTATAGTATACTATAGTAGTAAATTTAGTTCAGACTTTCTTAATAGGATCTCAACCACTGAAGCAAAACAACTCAGCTGGAATGCAAAACAAAAACAAACAGGAATGCAACTCCAGTGTAATTTAAATTTTAAAACAGCGTCAGGAAACTTGAAAAGAAAATTAAAACTGCTCCAGCCAGTCCAGTGAGCAGTTCCCAAATGGTTTTAAGACATGCCAGTCCTGGATTCAGACCCTCCCCATTTTTGGAGAAACCCAAATATAATCCCAAAGAAATTCAGAAAAAACTTCAGACATAACTTCAGGGAAAGTCAAATGCCCCTCCAACCTGGAAGGAAGTTATCCCAAAAGCAGTGCAGGTCTCTAATCCTATTTTTATCACAAATATCGGTATCCACACTTCTATAGCTCCTTTCCACCTCCTGCAGTGACTGATCAGCAGAATAACTCAGGCCTGCCTTAAATTCTCAAAGCTAGATCTTCTAGTTTTCAGATGGTCTGAACACACCCATTCTTCCATCACAGATCCCTTTTGCCTCCCTTCTTCTGCTCTTGGCTGTAGCTTTCTATGTGGTGAGGCTTCACATATATACATAGCTGTATTTAAAAAAATACATGAGAATAATGCAAGCATTTCCTGTAAGATTCATATTTTCCACATCAGACTGAACTAGTTGCAACAAACTAGTCTTTGTTCTTTGGCTTCTAGCTATGACAGTGATTAGGATCTTATTTATAAATATTCAGTTTATATGCATTTTTCTTTTAATAAACAATATTTATTTTCACAGCTTAAAGGCAAGAAGCACTGCATATATACTGTATAATAAGTAATTCAACATAGTAAATGTTGAAGGAGGGGTGTGAGAGGGACACCTTCTCTTAAAAGTCAAAACATTTGTTTTTATACTGAGGCTTTTCACATAAAGCTTTGCCAAATGCAAACGCCTAAAATGTCAAACATCCCAATATTATTAATTAACTGGATGGACTGAAACAAAAAATTGTAATTGAACAACCAGTTTAAAATAAAAATGTTTCAGAATTGTCCTGTCATCCAGCTTCTCATGCTGCGTTGCTAAAGCAGCCTGGATTGCAGAGAAGCAGCTGAGTTTGGTGCATCCACATGAAACACCAGCTGGAAATAACAGGTTACTTATATATGGTTCTACACAACCACAGCTTGCTGACTACTGTTTGCTACATGGTCTTCCAGTTCCAGCTTTTCAAAAGTATCTAATATTTGCCATATGGAAAAGAAAATAAACATATATATTTTTTCTTTGCTTATCCCAAATAATGAAACTTGCCACCAAAATTTCATCTCTTGAAGAAATATTCTGCTCTGAAAAATAAGCTCAACTTTCAGTATCTTGTAAGTGGAGCTCAAAATTTTAGACTTATTCCATTAGAAATGAAGACTTACTTCAGCTCTACTTTTCCATTTGCTTTGTTTTCCATTGTAACTCTTAATGTTAATTCTATATACATGGCTTATCTTTCATTTATATGAGATGAATGTGGAGAATGTGACATTTTAAAGAAAAGCACATTTGCTCTTAATCACAGTTATGAACCACACAACAGTATTTCCTTGCTTTCCCTTAACAACTTTCATGTCAGCAAACCTCATTATTTTCTCCATCATTTCTGTTGAATACAGAAAGTGTGAGCAAGAAACTGATTAATTCTAACTTTATACAGGATGAAGATCTCCAAGCCTTAAAACTAAGACACTGGGGAGACACATCGTTACAATTGTTCTTCTAGATAGGGATCCATAGGTGCGTGAGGTAAAATCTTTCTGCTTTGGAAGTCAATACCAATTTTGCTGTTCTCTACACCCATCATTGCCCCTCTCAGATATCAAAAGTGCTGTGACTGGGCTGTCAGATCTGGCTACCTATACTTAAACTCAAGTAAAAATCTGTGTTCCTTAATTCCAGATAAAGGTTGTTTTTCAAATCACCATCATAGTCAGAGCCATTCAATGCTGTACCATCCTTCATACATCCAAACTTGTTATTTCAGATGAGAATATGATAGCTTCAAATAGCCTTCAAGGTCTACTCTGTGAGGTGCAGGTCTCTATGTATAACTGAACCTCTACTTTCTTCCCTACAAAATTGTCACTGGTGATTCTATTTGTTTAGCAATTAGTTAGTC